GGTCTTTGGCATCGACATACTATAATTCCAGTGAGGTGTCCGCTCAAGAAGCTGCGTATAATCTTCTGGCTATCAGAATGGTTGAAGCAAACACAGTAACAGTATTCATTCCAACTTCTAGACCTGAGAAACGGACACATATTTTAAAAGGAAAAGATGAGTTAATCAAATTAACACCTAATTCAACCGACTGCTTTGTTCCTGGATTGATTGAGCACTATATCAATAGACCGGATCCATTGAATTTTCTCAATTTAACTCAATTTTGTGCTTACTTTGAAATCAGTAGGAAAGAACCTGGTGTTACGCGACAAATCGAGCGTACTTTCAATTTATCTTCTCTTTTAATCACCTACCAAAGTGCATAACGCCTTTTCGGGCTTGCACCTGTCAAAACTACCTCTTTCCATCTTTTTCTTATCCATAGATCTGTGACCTCTTACTAGGCGCAGTTATCCCATTCTCCTTCATAAATTTATTTAATTTCTTTAATTTCAGTGACTGGATTATATATCCATCACTATAAATAGGCATCCATAACACCTCTCTTTCAATAAAGATCCTCATCTATTATCTTACTCATATTTCAATACTTTGACCTATTAGTTTTATATATTATTCAGCTCTATTATCATTCTGATTGATCCCTTGGTTATATATTATCATTGTATCTTTTATTTTATAAGCATATAAGGCTATACTTATTCTCATTTATTTTCAGTTCAGCTTCTGATTAAACTAGCTGTGGTGCTCACTTAACTCGCAACTCTAAAGACCTTTCTTTACTAAACCTCTATTTTATTTAAAGAATCTCTTTTATCTCTATTATTCTACTCGCATTCGCTTCTAAAACTGGTAAGAAATCAAGAACTGACGAAATTAATGACGTTGATAAAACCATTGGCTCTGGTGATGAAAATGAAGAAAATTTGGGCTTAGAAGAAGAAAACGAATCGTCAGGGTATATCCTGCCTGCTGTTCCCGCTGGTAAAGTTTTCCAATTGAAGAACGAATCTGGGTTTTTTCGTCGTCGTGCAAAATCGAAGGTTATTAGACATTTCAAATTCAATATTGATAATGATTGTTCTGAGTATTTTTGAACTTTGTTAATGCTCTACCGTCCTTGGAAAAATGAGGAAGAGGATTTACTGAACGTTGACTGTGAGGACCTGTTCAATAGTAATATTGTTCAGACACTGGTAATAGTTCTTAAAGGATAAGGTGGATATAGATTATTAACACTGATGTTAATAATAAAGTAGTTATGAAAGTTAGCACTAGACTGGAATTAGTCAACTTACGAAATCTTATAATATAAAGTTTTTAGGATCAGAAGATAATCAACGATGATATTAAGAGGGCGTAAGTAATATAAATATAAACTGATTGCCAAGATTAAAAAGAAATGTAATTATGTTATTATAAACAATATCTTATATACAATTTTAATAATAAAGAGATTCGAGTGGAGTGTGAAATATGAACTTTGAGTTAGTTGTTATATGAAAAGTATAGACTTAAGATAAACAAGAAGTATGAAAGTTGAGGGAAACACAAAGGAGTCAATTACAAATTATTAAGAAACTAGATTTTTAGTCAAGATAAAACTAAAGCAATATTTATTAAGAAAAAAAAGGGACGTATTTATAGAAAAGATCCTATCCTGTGTAACACCAAGTCAATTTAGATTGGCTGCAACAATAATGAAGAGGTCTTGGAAAATAAACAGGAATTTTGTGCGATTAAAGATTCAACCCTCGACTCTTATATGGATCAACTTCACGAAGAGCATTTAAATGAAAATGAAGAAAATGAAAAAGATGAAAACGAAAATGACGAGGGTCAGTCTACTGGTGGTTCGACTCAGTACTATGATCAAAAAAATGATTTTGGAAGGTATACAGTTGATATTGATGATTCATGTGAAGGAGACCACCATCGTAGTAACGACCTCTCGGATGATTTGTGTGAAGGGACAGCTAGAAACAACGATGGTCAAAAAACGTATCTTGAAAAGCTTTCTAGGCCTGATAGACTCACCAAGTCCAATTTCTATGAACTAGTGTCAAAGTTGAACCAAACACAAAGTGAGTATGTCATGCATTCTGTGAACCACATTAGGTATAATCGTGACAGGACTACTGTGCGCATGTTTAGCAGTAGCAATGAATCCGTTTAAACAATTGCCCCATTTTATCATTTTGTAACTGGCGTTGCAGGTGTCCGCAAAAGCATGTTGATAAAAGCATTGTGTAAAGCAATTAGCATTGAATTTGATGATGACCGAGATCTTAAAACCAACACCCCATCAGTGCTACTCACAGCTCCTACCGGAAAAGCTGCTTTTAACTTTCGCGGTCAAACCCTCCATGGTGCTTTTCAATTGCCAATAAGCCAGTATGGAAAGGGCGAGGTGAATAGACTATCAGCCGATGTAAGCCATTCTATGTGCATTGCATTGAAGGATTTAAAAGTTCTTATTATCGAAGAAATAAGCATGGTTGAAGATGTTATTTTTTCTTGGATCGACAAAAGACTACGATATATTTTCGATTCTTTGCTGCCTTTTGGAGGTGTATCAGTTATAGTCCTTGGTAATTTTTACCAGCTATCCCCAGTAGCTTCATCACCTTTGTACTCTACCAAACCTCCGTCAGACCCTTATTTTGCAACATTTGTTACACGATTGTGGAAAACGTTTGCAGTTCATAGGCTGGTACAGATCATGAGACAAAGAGATAACTTTCATTTTGCTGTTGCACTCAACAACATGGCTGTTGGAGAAATGACTCAAAATGATGTGGCATTGTTTCAAAGCAGGGGTTTACGGCTCACTGAAGAAGAATTAAATGAATTGAAAAATGATGAGGCCGTGTTTCCTCATTCAGGAAACAGTGCTCTCTCTAGTTCTGAAGAAAGGCCTATTCGATTATTCGACACCAACAATATGGTTCGTAATAGGAATAGCGCTATCCATGCGAACATGGCAACTGAAGATGCCGTATCTGTCGGTTTTGACCGGGTTCTAGGAGATTGTGCAAATGATGTTGCTGTCAAGCACATACTTGCTTCTGTGGCTAATGATTCAGTGTACACTGTCAAAAATCTGGGATTGATGAAGCGCCTTAGATTACAAATTGAAACAAGGTATATGATCACTTCAAACTTGGATACATCGGACGGTCATGTAAATGGCACCACCGGTTATTTAGAGCAGATTGACTATGGCACGCTTAAAGGATCATCTGGTGGCGAAAAGAAGCCATTAAGAATATGGATCAAGTTTGATGATGAAACAAGTGGGGCAATTTTAAGAAAAAAACAAACTGCTTTAAGATCAAGAGCTAGTTCGGTCTTGGACAACTGGACTATGATTGAGCCGGCGTCATTGCAAATAACCAGTAACCGCAGAACAAATTTGAGGGTCAACAGAAAACGGTTTCCAATTGTTCCCGCAGAAGCCTCAACAATCCACAAATCTCAAGGCGGTACTTACGAAAATGTTGTTGTGTATGATGTAGGGAAGCATAAAATGCAAAGATCTTTAATTTACGTTGCTTATTCCAGTGCCACAACTGCTAATGGCTTGACCCTTGTATGCAAAAACAACCCTTTTGTTCCGCCAAGGCCTTATCATCCGAAAAAAGCAGTGATTTATACCTAGAAATACAACGTCAACCAACAATCATGCTTAACCCCACTTTCTTAAAGTTGACGAAAAAAGAGCACTTTCAAATTATCTCGCACAACGTCCAGAGTCTCCAGGCTCATTTAAATCAAATCACAAATGATCCAGTATATCTTTCATCGGATATGATTCTTCCTAACAAAACTTGGACGTTACTGACAGATAACTTCGTCATACCAGGATTTAAGTTGGTGTTGTCCTTAGATTGTACAAACTCTACACGTAAACCTTTAGGATGTTGCTGTTACGTCTCTGATAATGTAATTTGTGAGAGTATGACTTCTTCCTCCGAAATTTTTCGTAACAATGTCAACTCCTAGTCGGTAAGCGTGTCCACAGTAACAATTGATTCCACAATATATTGTAGCATTTATGCTTCACCTAGTCCAACACAAAACACTGATCTTTTGCTCGAATCTTTGGAAGATATAATTAGACACCCATATATTAACATCGTAATTGCTGGTGACTTCAACATCGACTTCAATCAAAATTCCACTGAAAGAACGGCAATAGTTTCTTTCCTGGGCCAACATGCTATCCAAAGCTCGCTTCCTAATTTCGTAAAATCAACTACAAAGTTAAAAACTTTCATTGACAATATTTGCACTAATCAAGACGTAATTTCTTCCGGACGATACATCTCATTCACAAGTTACCATGAACCTCTGTGGATGTTGACTTAAAAGCAAAAATAAATAAACAAATATGAATATCTCAATAATTATAAAATCAACTTTGGGTTTGCTGATGGGTCCTCCGGGAACCGCGTATTTTTACCGAAGCGAAGCGCAGGTCAAAAAATATGTGGTCGGAGGACTGGCCTAATATGCCTTCTAAAAATGGGATCAGCGACCCGAAGGGGAGCCCCATTTTTTTATTTTTTATATTTTTTTAAAAAACCGGTTTTGGAAAAAGATTGACTTTCAAAAAAAAAAATTAAAAAAAACGGAGCTTGTCTATATTAATACATCTCCTATTTAAGATCTCAATATATTTTGTTCGATGTTAGCAGCGTACACCTCAAAATTTTCCAGCGGTTTATTTGCACCTTAAACGGATACCGGCGGTAACGGTTTAAGCTTAAACTGCTACCGCAAAACTAAAAAAGAGTAAATGATGGAAAACCCGTACTTTTTTGACATAGATATATAATAAATGCTTTTTATAGTTGTTTTAATATGAGAAAATGTTAAAAATATTTAATATTGATGGCAAGACCAGGGTGAAAGTAAATAAGTGATTTTTTGTGCTACAAGAAGTAGTATGTTTTGTAGAGAAAAACGTTTTTTAAGGAGATTGAATATTTTTTTTATTCTAGCGCACTTATTTTCCCTGCGGTTGTTTTCATATCGGGTTTAAAAGCATCTCCAGTTCTGATGACATACTTGTACGAAGAACCGTCCGCAGAATTCAACAACCCAATGGAGGACACAATGTCTCTGGCATCGAAGACAACAAACTTTTCTTGACCACGATCAAACATCTGTACCCTAGGAATCGACTTCGACAAAGGAGACACACCGTTAGTTTTTGTCAGCTCGCGATAAACATAATGGGAGCCTTCACCCCCTTCAACCAACACAAAAGAAAAAAACATTAAGATTTTACAAACATACCTGTTTGTGACTCGATAGGATGAGCTAAAATCAAAGAGAGTTAATAAATATTATACGAAGGTATAAAAAAATACCACTCACCCGCTCTTATGCACAGCTTCGAACATAACGAAGTCACCACCACGAGTGCTTGACCTATTTTTTGATTTATACAAGTCTGATACGTAGACATGGTTATTGCTGAACAATTTGCTCGATATCACCAGTTGCTGATTCAGGTGAAATGCCGAAATTGTTGTTTGTCGGATCCCTGTTACGCGAGCCAGGCAATTCATCAAGGCAAAAATCCATGGCATGATTCGATATCGATTATCAAATGAAGAACTTGATCTACCGTGTTCCAAAAGATCTCCTACGACCATCGAACTGTATGGACAATTGAGGAAAGGAGACCGGAGTTGCGGAAGCAAAGGATCATTGGAAGGGTGCTGTACAAAATTGGTCTCTTTGTCAATGGTGGCCGTCAGAGCAAAGAAATCAAAGATGTTGGCTATCTTAAGGAACTTGAAAATGGCTCTCGTTTCTAATATGTTTCCAGCGTTAACACCGGGATGAACAGTGGATCGAATACGCGTTTTGTAAGAGCCAATCGATCTCTCAAGGGACCGAGCAGAATAGCATCGAAGTGGACTGTAAAAAATGTATTGGTATATTTATGTATATGACGTTAATGTATAGCTGTAGCTTACCCCATTCTCTTGATTATGTAGGGTATATGTATCAGCTGATGCAAGT